ACCAGCTCTGGTGTTTGCGTTGAGCGTGACCGAAAACGACCAATGCGGTCGCCTCGACTGTGTTCCACAGTTGACATCACCGGTCCCCCACGGAGGCGTTCTCGTCAACGACGGCAGCAGTGACTTGAAGGTTGTCTAGCCGGTGGGCTAGCTGGTTGCTGAAATGGAGATGGTGAGCAGGCAAGGACAGCAAAGCAGTATTCAGCTTCCCTGGTGGTCGCTTACCTTGAAGTCTCCTGCGAGGCTGTAGGCGTATCCGCATCTCGGAAATGACCGGACAATGGTCTATTCACCTGGCGGTGCCGGAATCGCCTTTGTCACCAGCACGTTCTACCGGTCTCGCCTCCGGACGAGGACATAGTCCAGCAGGTGCCACTGTCGCGACCGAGGGTGTATCCAGGTGATCGTTTCTCGCATGGGAAGGCAGAAAGAGGAAGCTGGTCAGGATGAGCCGGTGTTCTGCGCAGGTTCGTAGGAGGAGCAGGCCATTGTCATTGGGGCCGTCGAGATCATGGAGACCCAGTACTCCTCTCAAGGCAGCATGGTCTGCGCTGACGTGGGCGTTGAAGTCGCCAAGGACAATCAACTTATCCGTCTTCGGCAAGCTCGTCAGGAGGGCATGCAGATCTTCGTAGAATTTGTCCTTTGAGGCGCCGGGGCTGGTTATCGGCGGAGGGTAGACGCTGTTGATGGCGGAGAATTTGTCTCCCCGAAGAGGCAGGTGGAGACTCATCAGGCGGTCCTTGATGCCCTGCGGCAGACAGGGCAGGCGTCTCACGATGTCGTTCAGGATGGTAAAGGCAACGCCCGAGTCCCGTTGCTCTTCCTTGGGGTGAACGTTCCATACACACACACGCCGTCGATGCCAACCGTGTGCGCCACACGGTGAGAGGAAGGAAGGTGACTTGCGCGTGAGTTGGTTTATAGTGATAGTAAACTTTCGCCGCATTGACCCCACTCTCACCTCCTCCACAACCTGGAACCGGTGTCACGACGGAGTCAAGAAGACCACAGGCGAGGGAGGGCGCAGGTGGACTGCGCGGTCGAGACCGCATCTTGGCGTTTCACTTCACACCCCCTGGTCCACACAACAAATGACCAAGTTTTTGATCGACGACAACAATGGGGCTGCAGGGGTCCCAGTGGGCGCGACCTTGGTGGACAACCGGGTCTGCCACCGCGACCCCCGAAATGTTGGCACTTGTTATGGTGCACAATCCGACAACGCCTGCCAGAATCCGATATGACCCCCCGTGTTGGCCTAACGCATCTACCACGTGGTTCGTTTAGGAGAGGGCTTGAAAGGAGAAGACATTGGTGGTAGGCCGCTTTTTTCGCATCGGTTTGGCGGTCGAGGTAGGCGCTGTTCTTCTCGACGAGCAGGTTACCGATGGCGGCATCACTGTCATCGAACGCGTCCTGGTGTTAGCGGCGTGCACGGCCGAGGACAACGAGGGCGGTCGAATAGAGGGCGGCCCCCATGTCGGCGCCGTCGAGTCTCCAGGGAGGCCTTTTTATCTGCTGTTGGCAAACTGCTGAAGTGCAAACTGTGAGCATGCAAAGACAAAAAGCAGTATTAGGCTCAACTGAAGGTCGTTTACCTAGTGGCTTCCTGAAGAGTTGCGAGCGGAGCCTAATATTGGACATGACGAGGCGGTGATCCGTCAAGCCACCGGCGTCGCAGATCATCCTGGTCATCATTACTTCTTGTTGATCTCGCCGTCTAACTTGAACATAGTCCAGCAGTTGCCAGCGCCGCGATCGAGGGTGCGTCCCGGTGGCCATCTTTCGCATCGGGAGGCGGAAGTATGTGTTGGTGAGTAGGAGGCGTTGCTCAGTTCGGTCCACAGGAGAATGAGTTGCGGGCGATTTCGTGAGAACCCAACGCTCCCATCCGGGCAGCACATCCTGTCCCGAATTGGGCGCTGAATTCACCAAGGATAGTCGACTTATCCGACTTCCACACAGATGCCAGGAAGGCGTGCAGGTCCTCATATAATTTTTCCTTTCAGTGCCAGGACCGATCATCGGGGTTGCGTAGACGCTGACGATGATGGCGAATTGGTCTCCCCAGAGAGGCGGGCGCAGGCTCGTCAGGCGATCGTTGATACACTGCGACAGCCAGGGTAGTTATCCTACTATGTCATCCCAGATGGCAAAGGTGACGCCCGCGTTCCATCGCTCTGTCCTAAGCAGCCGGTCCAGAAAAAGGTGTAGCCGGCACCCTCCTCCTCCCCCTCCAATTGGCCTCGTTCGGAGGACTTGGTCTCGCTGAGTGCAGCAATGTCCACCTTGTAGCGTGTCAGTTCCAGAATCACTAGCGGCGTCCTCCGATCCGGTCGGTTACTCCTGAGATTGTCTAAAAGGGAACAAAAATTTCAGGCTGCCAAATTGGCAGAACTCACCCTAGCAGCCTGTCGGTGGGGCATAGGGGAGTAGGAGGTGGAGGAGGGGAAGAAGGAGGAAGAGATAGGGTAGTGTGCCTCGTGCTTTAGTTTCGATCGCGTGTTTAGCAGTCTGAAAGCCACGGTCTGCAAGCAGATGTCGTGAACCCAGCCCTGTTTAGGACACCCTTTCTAACTCTTTCCCCTCGTGAGGTAAAGCAGTGCTCTTCCTAAATAGGGCGGCTTTGTCGCGCCAGACGGATACCGTCCTCCAACATGAGTCACTAGATTTAATGAGAGAACGACCATTGGCCTGGGCTGCCTACGTGATTGCATGTCACTTTTGCCGCAGGACTCTCGATCGTGGGGATGAAAGTGGAGTAGAGAGTAGAGGAAGGAGGAAAGGGTGAAGCCTGAATGGGAAGGAGGAAAAATAGCGGTGGGGAGTGGGGGGAAGCGTGGAGAAAATGTTTGAAGGAATAGAAAGGGTTATGGAAGGGATGTGGTGAAGGTAGGGGGAGAATGTGAAGGAGAAGAATGGATGGAGCGGAATGACTGTACGGTGGGTTACACACGAATGCCCGCAACCGTTTTAGTCCGCCGGTCGATACAGGTAGCAGAGTGAGGTCACCAGAGATGCGCACCAGTTACTGGACGCGGCAGCGACGCAATATGAGATCCATTCCAAATAACGCAAGATACACCCTCGTGTCTTACGGGACCGGTGGAAGGAGGGGTTATACGGATGGGGCTAATGGATGGGAAGGCGGACAGAAGGAATAGGCAATTTGTGCAAAGATTGTTGTAAATCAGTGAGTAAGTTAAAATGGATCCTGTGTGACCTTGAAAGCGGACCGGAAGATCGAATTAGGATGATATTTAACACCGTAACACCAAAGTAAACCAAATACGACGCCCATACCATAATGACGCTAAGGCCAGAGATAAGGGCAGCGGAGAAGTCCATGAAAATCCAAGGACGTAAGGCACCGAAAACCCCACAAGAGTAAAGCGTGGACGTTGACCCTAATGTTCCACGCAATGCAACAATGCCCGAGATGCCCAACAGTGGTAAATTAAACCAAGTGAACTTGTAAACCGACAGTTAACGTTAGAAAAGTGAATATTTAAAATAAAGTCACGGCAGCAATTGTCAGTTTGGTGTAAGTTTACTATTATTTGTTGTTATGATGGGCATGGCAGCGTGTGATAGTAGTTTAAGAAAGCTCTGGCCGGTCAGCCATCTGATGCTGTGTTTGGGTGTAGGTGGCTGGCGAGGCGTGTGACCTGCACCTAGGCGGAACATCACACGCCATGTGAAGCATTTGTTATGGGATGCACGAAATCTACGCAGCCTGCATAACGCCTACCGCGCCCCGTCTGTCCTCCGTCTCGGTCCAGGGCCCTTAGGACACCGACTGTTGCAATGGCACATTTGCTGAGACAAAGGCTTGA